TCGACGAATGGCAGCATGGCAGTTTCGCACTGTTGTATACAGCTGGGTGTTTTTGGCTGAGTGCGAAAAGCATGCACCAATAGGTTTTTTGCCAGGATGGCAGCTCTTCTGTGCTGTTCACGACTTGGTGCATCTTGCTGATGTTGAAAAGCAATGCGTTTTTTTTTACGTTGCAAATTTTAGCTTTGATAGAGATGAGTCATTCCGTACACAAACTTTTAACAAAGTTTGATCGAATCACTGCATTGCAGTTTAAGTGGATAGCCACAAAACTTTCTCTGTACCTGAACTGCAGTTCCCCCACCAACGAATACAGTACCGAATATTGCCATCACTATTCGACAGCTGTCATTGTGAATGTCGAAATTACTTCTGCTGTTGAATTTAATACTGCCACGTTCGACCATACGCTGGACGACTAACTCGCTTCAGACTGGAGAGTCAGCCTGCTGCGTCCGTCAGCTTACAAGACACGACAGGCTGGGCGGCACGCTCGGTTCTTTGCAACTGCCGCAATCTCCCGCACATTCAGCTCCGTGCACTGTAGCGGCTACTGACACGCGTGAATAGTTGCGTTGCACTTTCTCACTGAAAAAGACGACTACACTAACGAACCAAGGCAGGAGGTTTTTGTCATGATTGAGTTTTTCTTACGTGGCATCTGCTTCGTAACTCTGGCCGCATCGTAGCAAGGATTTATCCAGCGTAGTACGTTCTTTTAGATTCACAGCTTAAATTAAGCCCAAATGAATTGCTTTCTGGAATTCCCACAATTAGTGATGAATATGGTTAATTTCCAACACAAAGGACGCACACAAGAATTCACGAGCTTGTAGCAAATGGCGAAGGGCACTACACCTTGCAAAACAAATTGTGGTTCCCAAACTATTTGATTTAATATAGAACAGACATCAACAATTAACGTTTTAATTAGTGCATATGTACAAATGATACACGCATATATACAAGCAGGTCCTAGAATCACCACCTAAACTCATTCCAAAGGAATCTAGCTTCCTCACTCTTGACATCGTCTGACTGTGGCACGACATGGATAGCCCGTAAAATGCTCTCCACGTGCACTACCCCATAATCGTTTGTCCCAGTCGCCCATCCAAGAGGTCTGCATGGTGTGGCATTTGTGATCGGCATCCTGCGGTAATACCGCACAAATGCAACCTGCTCTGCCAATGGTTGCTCTACCTCGACCTCATCACCCGTAATAGCGTTTCGTCTTGTCCTCCAGGCCGTTCCATGCAACGTGAAGATCAGCAATAGCTTAGCTGGCCACGTCCTAGTCACATTCTGTCTGTCCACCCCCAGAACAGTAACATCGCTGTACCAAGGGCTGCCATAGAAATTGTGTACGGCACGTGCGTACGACGGATACTTACTATACCTGTTGAAATCATTATCTGGCGGTACAGCAATGCCATGGTGCACGTCCAACTCCGAACTCCACTCAATGCGAACCACGCCTGGTGCACGCGGCTGTCTGTTCTGGAAGGCCTCCAGAATCCGACCAAGGACGCTAAAATCGCCCGGAATGGTACGAGCCCATAGATCCCTCGTCCTGTCATTCTTGGCGAGATAGTCGATTGTCGATGATTTACTTGTTATTGCCGGTGTTCCGCTCTCCAATGCCTATTCGGGGTTGTCATGGGGCGGGTAGAGGTAGTGATAAAGTCGTATCACTACATGGGACAAATTGCGAAGGTGAAGAATGCACGATATGATGAAGAATGCAGAGGTGTATGAATGTTGGGTGGTTCCAGATTAACAACCGAATCATTATATTAAGACCAGTAGAAAAAACACACATACCTGTTTCATAGCAATTGTCCTTGCCTCTAAATCCTCCACTTTCACGTCGTTTGTTGTCATGTGCTCAATGAGCTCGGACACAAGGCATCTCCTTGTGATCGATGCCTCGGCGTTCCGCCTGTTCGATGATCTGTATGGGCGCTTCATGAGAGCGATGTGGACGTGCTCGTAAAGGTCTGTACAGTAGTGAGCGGGAATGCCAGCCCGACGAATGTCATCTACCACGTGAAGCATCGCGTGAACCTTGGGGATATTGAAAGAAGAACCTTGTTCTTTATTGAATTCCGCGATGAGCAATGGCACGATCCTGGGTACAATTGCATTCCAGAGCGCATACACACGCATGCACGCTCACACGCACATACAACAACACACACCTCACATGCACGCACACATACGCATACATGGGCGCACGTACGCACGCACATTAGTGCATACGCACGCGCAGTGACACATGCACTCGAGCACACACGCACATGCACGTACGCACATACACACCTCACATGCACACACACATACGCATACATGGGCGCGCGTACGCACGCACATTAGTGCGTACGCACGCGCAGTGATACATGCACTCGAGCACACACGCCCATGCACGCACGCACATACACACCTCACATGCAAACACACATACGCATACGTGGGCGTGCGTACGCACGCACATTAGTGCGTACGCACGCGCAGTGATACATGCACTCAAGCACACACGCCCATGCACGCACGCACATACACACCTCACATGCAAACACACATACACATATATGGGCGCGCGTACGCACGCACATTAGTGCGTACGCACGCGCAATGACACATGCATTCGAGCACACACGCCCATGCACGCACGAACAACACACACCTCACATGCACACACACATTCGCATACATGGGCACGCGTACGCACGCACAATAGTGTGTACCCACGCGCAGTGACACATACACTCGAGCACACACGCCCATGCACGCACGCACATACACACCTCACATGCATACACACGCATACACACAAGCAGACATGCAAACCAGGTCGTACTTGAGTAAGAATCAAGAAGCTTTCAGCGGTCGTACAATACAAAAAAAGAGACCAAAACCTCCGAAACTTACTTGAGGGTAAGCTGGTGAAGTGCTCGTAGTGTCTCCTCAGTGTGGTATGCGCGATGCCACGCCTGCGCATGCCAGAGACAGTACAGCTCCACTGGTCGCACCCACTCTGGCTCCACCCCATTCCTCAACAGCAAGACAGGTAGGACCTGCATCACCGCCTGATGCTGGAAAGCATAAAATGTATGGTTCCCACTAAAGTACCCATCCGTCTTAGTAGGGAGCCTGAAGAAGGACTGTCTGCTATACTGTGTAACCCGTGCTA